ATAAGCATATTCTAATGCAAAATAAGCTTCAAGTTTTGCTAATTCACCTCTTGCCTATTTAGTTGAACAATATGAACATTTTGCTGAAAAATGCCAGCTGAAGTAGAGTTTTCTCACTTAAAAAATGACCAAACAGGTGCTAAAGAATATCCTTCAGAAAGTATAGCAGGCTTTATTATGATTGGCTGATTTGTAAAGATCATCTAATCATAATAAAGTCTTATTACAAGAGTACACAAAATGAATTCAGGGCTACGAATATGAATTTGGCAAGGTTATGACATAAAGATTTAGAAAACTACACCTTTGGCTCTACAACATACTAAAGTAATTTGGTAATTAACGAGGTAATTTAGAAGTTAAATGAGAGGTATGTTTAAATATTTTAATTTAACCTGTATAATATACTATGTATTAAACTTGGTAAAATAAGTTATTTTTTAAAAGGTTTACAATGCTAATCTATTTTATTTATTACTTGTTTATTTTTCTAAAAACAGACGTGTACTGCCAATAAATAGATTAGTGATATAAAGTAATGAAAGCATGAGCTTGCGAACTTTATAAAAGTTAAAATATAGTGTTACGTCTATTATTAAAGCATAGTGTTACATTTATTATTAATTTATAATATGACTAAATTCATTGGCATTAATTTACTATTATTATATACAATTAAAAAAATTATTTATATAATTTTTATAGTCTTTTAAAACAAATGGTTCATATGTTTTTTTTGCTTTTATAATTTTATTTTATTTTTTTTTGTATAATATGTTATAGTTTTTTAAAAAATAATATCTTGGGTTTTTTGTTTCGGAATGATTGTATTAGACTTTGAGTTGATAGATTTCATAGTAATACATTTATTAATGCCTAATTGATTTTATATGGTATTAATAAATATTTGATTTTTAATTATATCAGATATAGTTTTGTATAAAATTTGTCTTGTGAATATTTTCAATTAACCAATGATATTTTTGCAATATCACGGGATAATCTACAAAAATCAGCCAATTACAATAAAAGCCAGCTATGCTCCTCCAGAACCTTTGGAACTAACAGAACCTCCAGTATCTTTAGAACTTACAGAGTCTTCAAAATAATCAGAGTTTGTTTTATTTAATGTTAAAGAACATATTGATTCCTGTCTTTCAACAAAAGATAATAGTAAAAATGCTTTAAATTTTTGCTTGTTACTTTTATTTTGAGACATATTAATATGAGTTTTTCTTGTAAATATATATAAAATAAATATATAT